TTTTGTTAACTTTGCTGACGAATTTTTGCGTAAAACTTAATTACAAAAGCGTATTTTAATATTTAAACTATAAAATGACCACACCATATATGACTCGCCCTGGTGCAATGCATATAAATTAATCAATTAAGCTCAAAATATCTAACTTTTTTTTAAAGAATATAGTTTTTTTTAACAGTTTTAACACTTAATTAAAATAAATTTTTGACATTACTGGAATTTATTTTACGTTTTATATACAAAACTCTAATAAATTATTGATTTTTCATAAAATTTGATGTTCAAATAATGATTAATTTTAATTGTAAGAAAATATTATATCTGTGACTAATTAAAAATTTTTTTATTTTCACAACTTAAATTTTACACAAAACTTAATTAATAGAGTTTATTTAATTATTTATGCTGATCAACTGACCAACTGTAAATGACCAGTACCCATGCAACACTTTTGAATTAATCAATTAAGTCCAAATTATCTAGTTTTTTTTAATGAATCAATATTTTTTAATATTTTAACTATTAATAAAAATAAATTTTTGGCATTACTGGAATTCATTTTACAATTTAATATACAAAACTCTAATAAATTAATGAATTTTCATAAAATTTGTTATTTAAATTATATATACTTTTTTCTGACTTTTTTGATCATTAATAAACCTTATATCTCTGTTAGTTAATACTTCGACTAACTTACATCGATCAACCATAGGAATACCAGAAGCTTTTTCAATAATGAAATTGCTTCTGCAACTGTTTTATCAGGGGAACAACATAGTCTGAAGTAAAAGAGTCAATAGTCAATTGCTTAAATAATCAATTAACTTTTTTTGCTGCTTTCTTTTTGTACTTATGTATAAGATCGAACACTTTGGTTGGTGTAGCTCAGTTGGTAGAGCGTCGGCTTGTGGTACTGCTGAGTGCGGCTAGTTGGGTTCTGCTCGTACTTCCCAAAAAAATCCTCCCTGCATTACGATGAATGAATGTGCAATTTACATAGCCGGCAAAGGCTCTCTCGAATAAATCGAGTGGGTTTGACTCAGCTGGTAAGGCATTAGCTTGTGGTAATCAATTAACTTCAAAATATTGCTATTTTTAGTAGTTTTGGCACTTAATCAAAAATAAAAAATGATAATTTAGAACCAATTTTCTTGTTAAATGTAAGAAAACTATTACAAATTTTAAAATTTTTAAAAAATTCAAAATTTAAATTTGAAATTAAATTTAATTTTGAACCTTAAATTCAATTAAAACCACGATTAATTGAAAGTTTTATTAATTTTGCTGATGAATTTTTGCGCAAAACTTAATTACAAAAGCGTATTTTAATATTTAAACTATAAAATGACCACACCATATATGACCGCCCTGGTGCAATGCATATAAATTAATCAATTAAGCTCAAAATATCTAACTTTTTTTTAAAGAATGTAGTTTTTTTTAACAGTTTTAACATTTAATTAAAATAAATTTTGACATTACTGGAATTTATTTTACGTTTAATATACAAAACTCTAATGAATTATTGAATTTTCATAAAATTTGATGTTCAAATAATGATCTGCTCGCTGGCTGGCTGACTGTGCTGCTGCTGCTGCTGCTGCCTGCTGCTGCTGCTGCTGCTGCTGCTGCTGCTGCTGCTGCTGCTGCTGCTGCTGCTGCTGCTATTACTTTTTTTAACGATCTAATATTTTTAACATTTTAATATCTAATTAAAATAAATTTTTGACCAACCGGATTTATTTCACAGTTTAATATACAAACACTTTTAAAAATTATACGATTTTCTTAAAATTTGATATTTATATTTGAAATAAAAATTATTTTTAATTGTTAGAATGAATGAAAACGTGACAAATCAAAATTTAATCAGTTTTACTAATCAAATACTGTTAAAATTAATTATTAAAGTTATTTAATATTTATGCTGGTCAAATGATTACAATTATGTGACCAGTACCATGCAATGCATAAAAATTAGTCAGTTAAGTTCAAAATATCTACTTTTTTTAATGACTTGACATTTTTTTATATTTTTATATATATATATATATAATATATCATAATATATATATATATATATATTAAAAATTATTAAATATTTATTGATATTGCTGGAATTTATTTGTAGAATAATATGCAAATTCTAGTAAATTAATAAATTTTCATAAAATTTAAATCTGAAATAAAATTAATTATAATTGTGAGAATGAATTAAAACTGTCAAAAATTAAAAATTTAATTAGTTTTGCTAATCAAATATCGACTAAAACTTAATTATTAAAACTTATTTTAATATTTCTGCTGATCAAATGACCACGATGTATGCGACCAGCACCTATGCAATGACACAATTAATCAATTATAAGAAAATAAACTTTAATAACTAAGTTTTTTTTTAATATTAGAGAAATGAAATTAATCAAAATTTTTTTATATATTAGAAGAAGTGAAATTAATTAAATTCAAATTAAGAATTAAATTTTGTAATGAGGTTTTGCGCCAAAAATTCATCAGCAAAATTAAAAACAAAATCTTTCATTAGTAATGGTTTTAATTCAATTTAAAATTAAATTAAATTTAATTTCAAATTTAAATTTTGAATTTTTTTAAATTTTTTTTGATGTTTTCATACATTAAAATAGAAATTGGTTCTAAATTATCAATTTTTATTTTAATTAAGTGCCAAACATACTAAAAATAGCAATATTTTTGAACTTAATTGATTATGTTATATGCCTTGCCTAGAGCTTGTCATATATGATGGTGTGGTCATTTTATAGTTTAAATATTAAAATACGTTTTTGTAATTAAGTTTTGCGCAAAAAATCATCAGCAAAATTAATAAAACTTTCAATTTAAGAATTAAAATTAAATTTTATTTCAAATTTAAATTTTGAATTTTTTTAAAAATTTTAATATTTGTAATAGTTTTCGTACATTTAACAAGGAAATTGGTTGTAAATATCAATTTTAATTTTATTTAAGTGCTCTAATTCAACTTTGTGGTTGCCAAATGCCATACTTGCAGCAAAAGGTGGACTATAGCTCAGCTATGTTTATCCAGGTGATACAATTCTTCTGGTATACCTCTACCATCATTCCAAAAATCTGTTGCAATTCTATAATTAGCATCTTCAGATTTTAGTTTTAACTTACCCATGCTGGCAAAAAAATCGACTATAATAACCTGCCACTCAGGTAAAATCCTTTTGTTTCACTTGCGCCAGACTGTCGTGACAACAACAAAGTAAGGGTTGCTATTAACAATGTTTTTTATTAATTATATCATTTCACTATTAAATAAATTATGCTAATTCTATTATCAGCTAAAACGCTAGACAAATAAAGAACTTTTAAGCTTACCAAGAACTTACAGTGTTATAGGCAACAAATCAATTTGCTTTCTACTACTTTGAGAATTGCTATTAGTTTAACATTGATTAACTGAAAATTGTTCAATATAACCTATATGGGAGAGGGAGAGAGAGAGAGAGAGAGAGAGAAGGAGGATTTTCTTTCTCTTTGCTTTCGTTATTAATATATCTTTCATTTCACTCTCATCAATCAGATCTTTGCAGCGTTTAGTTAACAAATATAACTTGTCTTTTCATAACACCAAAGACTTACTTCTTCATCTCTAAGTTTCAGAGTGTCCTCAGAAACTATGTACAACTATGTACATTCTGTGACACTACTGGTCTCTTCGTCACTCATGCCTCATTTTGTCACCATGGCCGTGATAAGTAGACGTTTGTTTTATATTCGAAGATGCATCGCTTATCTCTTCTGCTACCCCTTCCACCCATGATGGCAACAGTTCATCTTCTTTTCTCTTTATGGCATACTCTACCCTACTGTCCTACAATACTTTCATCTATTTTGTAAGAAGAAGATAAAGAATATGTTTTATTTGAATCAGAAGACTTATAAACTCATCAATAATCTCAAACTCATCATCATCTTCTATTATAGATTCTGTGATCCGATGTTATTTTTGATTATTGTACTGCTGCAGTACTAAATCAATTGTGAGAGAAACTAAAATCCAATACATTTAAAACTAAACAATATTAGCTTATACTATAAATTGATATTGCTGTCAGTAACTATTATTACTATTCTAGTAAATAATAAAATATTTATTTCTAATCATAGAAAAATTTTACTTCCATGGAATGAATATTGGGGTTATAACATGGGTGAAAAATGAAAACCTCTATGCTAAATTTTAGTTAACGTGCATATTGGAGATATTAAAAAAGTTGTTTTTGAGGTATTGCATTTTGTTTTTGTTTTAGCTATAAGGCCAGAGGTTGTTCCTATAGAATAGCAGTAGTGTCGGTAAAAAAATCTTATCCTGGACATGCGAAAAGAATTCAGAACTCTATGCAATGTTGCATTTTTTCCATTGATGTACCATTTAAACTGCAATTCACATTCACATAGAGAAGAATTAGCTAAGTCATAACATCTGACTCTAACTTTTTTACCATCACCACTCTCATAACATAAACATTTGTAATTTTTCTGTCATCATTATCTAATATTGAAAAATCAGTGATTTTGTTATCTTTATAGAATTTACTATTTAAAAGTTCGCTTAGTTTATAGCCGTATCCTTATCTTGTAGTGTTATTCTTGCGTGAAAGCTACTATCCTCAGAAGCTTGCTTTACCAATATTACAAACTTATCAGCAAGAGAAGCTGCTAGCTCACTTGCCAAATTCAATTTTCTTATATTTTCCTCTTCTAGAAAGGAACGCTGCTCCTCCAGTTTTGCTATGCTTTCCTTGGTTGCTTACACTGCTTTCCTTTGTGGAAAAAGAAAATTACGTGCGTAGCCAGGCTTTACTTTCAACAACCCAGATGCTAAGCTCGAGCTTCAGCTATGTAAAGTGAACTGTTATAATCTCAGGCTAAACCACAGTATAAAAAACCACTCTTCCGGTAAAATATAAATAAGCACTTCACTTTACGTAGAATGTGGATATCATTTGAAATATTTTTTAAGAATAGATAATGTCACAGGTTGGGGTATAGATGTAGAAATCAAAAAACAAAGTTCTGTATGTAAGCAAATGCGTTTTAGCATAGGCCGTACAAGTCTTTTAAGTACGCTGACCAGAGTAAGTGGAGTGGTCGAAAGGCGTAATGCAATAGATATCTTGGCGTGTATAAATATTAAAGCACAACATGGCAGCATAAAATTAATGGCTACTGATCTTGATATTTCAATATTTGCTTCACTTGCTGCAGATGTTCAACAGAAGGAGAAGTAAAAGTTTCAGCACATACTTTACACGATATAGTGAAGAAGTTGCCAGCTGATTGGATGTCAATTTTGAGGTAAACGAGTTTGCTAATTCTGTTACATCACTTTCTTCTGAAATTGTGTCATTACTGCTTTGTATGATAAGCCCAGGAACCGGACAGGGGGAGAGAAAAGAGAAATCATACTTTGTTGCTGGAAGGAAAAAAGCAATAAAGCCTACTATCTCAGGTCTGCGCATTATCAGTTGCATAGCTACCCATGCTCCAAAGGAAAAACCAACGATCCAAATTGGAACATTACTAGGGTTGTGTTCTTGAAGCCAATCAATGGCTATTGCGGCGTCAGTTAACTCCCCTATACCCTTATCGAAAGTTCCAGTGGATTTACATTTAACAAGAAAATTGGTTCTAAATTATCATTTTTAATTTAATTAAGTGCCAAAACTGCTAAAAAATAGCAATATTTTGAAGTTAATTCATTATGTTATATGCATTGCAGCAGAGCAAGTATGGTGTGGTCATTTTATAGTTTAAATATTAAATTGCGCTTTTGTAATTAAGTTTTACGCAAAAATTCGTCAGCAAAATTAATAAAACTTTCATTTAATCATGGTTTTAATTCAATTTAAGGTTCAAAATTAAATTTAATTTCAAATTTAGATTTTGAATTTTTTAATAAATTTAAAATTAGTTATAGTTTCCTTGCATTAAACAAGGAAATTGGTTCTAAATTATCATTTTTTATTTTATTTAAGTGCCAAAACTGCTATTAATTCATTATGTTATATGCATTGCAGCAGAGCGGGACAAGTATGGTGTGGTCATTTTATAGTTTAAATATTAAAATACGCTTTTGTAATTAAATTTTACGCAAAAATCCGTCAGCAAAATTAATAAAACTATCATTTAATCATGGTTTTAATTGAATTTAAGGTTCAGAATCAAATTTAATTTCAAATTTAAATTCTGAGTTTTTTAAAAATTTTAAAATTGGTAATAGTTTTCTTAAATTTAACAAGAAAATTGGTTCTAAATTATCATTTTTTGATTTAATTATTTGCCAAAAACAATATAAATAGCAATATTTTTGAACTTAGTAGATTATGTTATACTTATTAAATTCTTACAGTTACAATTATTTTTGTTTTAAATTTAAAATTCAATTTCTATTAAAATTCATTGAATTTATAAGAATTATAAAATAAATTCTAGTAATATCAAAAACTAATTTTATTTAAATTTAAAATATTAAAAAATCTCAAATCATTAAAAAAATAGATATTTTGTAGTTAATTGATTGAATTTTATGCGTTGCATAGGTACCGTCACACACATCGTGGTCATTTGACCAGCAATAATAATAAAATAAACTTTAGAAGTTAAGTTTCAATCAATATTTCATTGGCAAAATTAATTAAATTTTTAATTTTTCACGATTCCTATTCATTCTTACAATTAAAATAAATTTATATTTCAAATTTAAATAACCCATTTATAAAATTCCCATAATTTGTACAGGTTTTGCATATTAAACTAGGTAAGAAGTCTTATTATGATCAAAATTTAATTTTAAAGGATATTAAAAATTATCATTTAATAAAAAAAAATTGATTATTATATACGCATAGTGCTTGAACATTGTGGTCATTTGACATCTTAAATAATAAAATAATGCTTAGGCTTAGGCTTAGGGTATACTTAGGCTTAGGCTTAAGCTTTATTTCAAATCTAAACATTGATTTTGGTGAAAATTTTATAATTTCCAAGAGTTTTTGTATATTAAACGAGGAAATAATTTCTAGTTTTATCAATTGTGATTTTAATTAAATGTTAAAACTATTAAGAAATATCAATTCATTTAAAAAAATTAGTTATTTTGAACTCAATTGATTAAATTTATGCATTGCATGGATAACGGTCAGTTACGGTGTGGTCAATTGACAACATAAATAAGAAAATAAACTTTAATAACTAAGTTTTTTTTAATATTAGAGAAGTGAAATCAATTAAACTCAAATTAAAAATTAAAATTTTGTAATTAAGTTTTGCTCAAAAATTCAACAGCAAAATTAATAAAACTTTCAATTAATAATGGTTTTTTTTTTTTTTTTTTTTTTTTTTTAAAATGGTTTTTTTTTAATTATATAATGGTCTTAAAATTAAAA